TTGTCTTCTTGCGGCGGATGACAGAACTCACTTAGAGCAGGCAGGTTTAGGGCTTCAGGGGTATCCCTCTCACCCTGTCCTGTAACATAACCACCTACCATCATTTCTGCCCAAAAAAAGTTGATAAAAGTAAAAGACCCTTGTTCTTTCCTAGTATAAATCACAATGCAACTCTTGGTATTTTTCTATATTAATTTATATATATATTTTTTTTTTTTAAAGTAACAACAATTAGTATATGAGATCTGCCATGGAAAGCTGACTACTAGGAAAATCTGTAATGTGTTTAATTTAAATCTCAGCTTCTTTATGTATGAAACTAAGTAACAATGCCTACCTCAAAAGACAGTGAAATGATGTTGATGAGTAACACATAGAACAGAATAAGCCTCACGTTGGTGTCAGTTTTCCTCTGTATAGTCCAGTGTGTTATAAAGTACATAATGCGTATGCATGCGGATAATCAAGGTTATCATTAATCATGATGGATTTTTCCATCATGAAGATAAACTATAAGCATAAATAGATTATTTCAGACCCAACAGTTTATACAAAGACAGATAGTTTTATTAGATTTACTTTAAAAACACCCTGTGCCTATTTTTGACAGCTACCCACAGCCGCATTCATCCACCACCATGTTTTCATAATGTCGTAGAATGACGTTGTCATCATTGTCCTGATAAAGCATGGAAATGGGGGACAGCCTGGTGGGGATACAGACGGCCTGGGGGATGTCCGGGTCCACGGCATGCATCAGTGCTTGCATGAAAGCGTAATTGGAGCTGTTGAGGGAGGTGGTCAGTGAGAAAGGACAGTTTCCGTGACAGTAATTTGCCATGAAGCCCTTGGGGGCGATGATCCACTTGTCCCAGCCCAGGTCCTGGAAGTTGATGAACAGCTGGTGACGATGGCAGAGATTCTTACAGGAAGCCTGAGGGGCAGGGAGAGCTGCTCTCTTTTTTCGTAGAGCAGGGTGACACTGCTCAGGGTTTAGGGTCACTACCAGCAAGGAAGCACTCAGGGAAGCTCTCAGTCTAGAACAGGTGACCTCATGCTGAAAATTCCACTGTGAGTCTCCGCTTCCTTTAACCAGTATCTCGAGGAACAAACCTAAGTTCTTCAGGGAGCTGTTCTTGCGATCCTTTAGCACACTCAGCAGGTTGAAGTGAAGAGTGCCTTGAGGCCATGGCACGGACTGCAAGATTAACACTCTACCTGACCTCGGGGTGGATGGGCCCCACACATGAGGATCCCCAACCAGGCACAGCGCCAACTCCAACTCAGGGTGCAGGTTGTAGTAAGTGTTGGGCCCCAAGTCCAGGCCCAGCCGGGCCACTGTTAGCTGTTCCTTCTCTTGGATGGCAGACAGGTTAAAATAAAGGAGCTTCTGCAGGCACGAGACTTGGGAAGATTTCGAGTATAAGAAGAAACCTAGATGGGAACAGACACATGTGAGGGGCACTGTAACATACTTTACTTTTCTATCTACCTGTATGATTGAAATACCCAATGTAAGGTGGATAGCCACGCACACAGAACAAAAGCAGCAAATTATCATTTACACACAAACCCTAGCATTTGGGACCATTTGTTTCTCTCATTCTTCATTCAAGGCCAAAGACCCTGATCTTACACCTGCAGCTGCAGAGCTGTCCTGCACAGACTTTGGAAGTTTCCTAAATCTAGGAAAAAATACTTATTTTCACTAAATTCTTCAATGAAATAGGGCATCTCTTTTCATCATGAATATCAGCAACAAATTCCACTGTTATCTGGGCCTATGCCAATACAAATCATAGGTATGTTCATATGTTAGATCATGAAAAAAATCCTAAAACAGCACTTATGCTCACACTACTTTGAAATTAGAGTTCTAGATCCTTTGCCAGATTTTATTTGTTGCTTTAATAAGACATCAGCTATGTTACTATACATAAATGTTTTTAAATATGTGCCGTGCCCGCACGCCAGGGATAGAGTCTGCGCAGGGGGACATAGAGGTTGAAGAGTCAGCACA